TAGCAGCTTTTCTGAGGGGTATGGACTGGAGTGCGGGGTAACAAGGAGGGTTGAGTTCGCCTACGCTTTTCAACTTATACATAAACCAGTTTTGTGGAGCTCAGCATTACTAAGGTCGGTTGTTCTATAGACGGAGTTTGCATAAATAACATAAGCTATGCAGATGACATGGTGCTGCTGAGCCCCACAATAGGTGCACTGAGAATGCTGCTAGGGATCTGTGAATCCTACGCAAAGACCCATGGGCTCAAGTACAATATAACAAAAAGCGAGCTCATGGTTTTTAATTCAGGCACTAAAAGGCAGCTCACCATGCTTACTGTTAAGCTCTGTGATAGATTTTTGAACAGTCGTCGCGTTTAGGGTGCTGTTGGGATTGGCGCGTTATTGTAGTGCCTCTGCCATGTTCGCTAAGGCACACACAGATGGCTTTCATGCCATTATACGTAAAAGGTCCACTTCATTACTGAATCGACTACGTACCTCTACCAACGGCATGCTGAATACACTTGCTGATAGGTGGGAGACTGCCATTATGAAGGCACTGGTTGAGCCTACATATAAAATTAAATAAAAGTAAATAAATAACATATTTGTAACGTAGGAGCAATGTTCAATTTATTAAGTTAAAAAAATAAAAGTTAAATACTAACATTTGTTTTAAGTATATATTTATTGTGCTACTAACATCTTTATGGACAAAGTCTGAATAAATATTATATTATTATATTAATAAAAAAATCACGAGGTACATGAATTTCAATTATTTTATTTTAATATTTAATCATAACGAAAACAATTTACCAAATGGCAGACAGAGAAGTAGGGAGTAAAGCCGTTGCAGACCATTTTAAAAATATCAAGCGCTCGAAGCGCTTTAAAATATCGAGCGCGATTAAAAATCTTGGATAAACGAACTTTTTCAAATTACACGTCTCGCTCTACGGCATTAATCAAAGTAACTTGTTTTATGTATACATAGACAGATTTTATTTATAGACAAATGCTGCAAAACAAGATCCGGCATGAAAATTTTTACTTGTCACACCCAAAGAAATTCACTTACGAATTTACGTTTGCCACATTAACACAACCGTTATAAAACTTATCAGTTTTTCCAGTCGTCAATCACCCTAATGTAGGCAATTGCGCCCACAAGATGTCACTAGTTGATATGAGATGAAATTTTTTAATAATAAATTAAAGTTACGGTGGAATATTTTAAAAAACTACATAAGAGATTTAAATATATTTACTACTATTTATTAAATCTTTGACCTACATTAATCCATGTTCTATTTTTACAAGGGAAAGCGGCAGTGATCATAATAATGACAACTCTCACAATGATGCAGAGATGAGCGATATTGAAATGCTAGAATTCAGATTAATACTTCTTCGTTCATAGTTCTTTTGAAATTATTTCAAAAATATCTCTTTTGCTATGCAATTGTCTAATAAGTCTATGGTTCTGGTCATCCTACCAAAATTAAATTAACAGCTATGACGTCACAATATGGCGCCAGGTCAGTTTTAATATTTTTGAATCGCGTATTATAAACTGAGACATGCTGCGTTTCGTCAGATGTACCTCGGATTCATAGTGTTCCTGACCATGAAGGTTAGAGAACAGGAGAACGATCACTACGTACTAAAGCATAGCCCGCCTGTCCTTGAAAATTGTAGAATGTATAGCGACGCTGACGTCGGTGAGTAGTAACTGCGAAGTTAGCTGTTTATGAGTACAAGTAGATGAAGTTAGTTGAAAAATGTACAAATTTTCATTTAATTTTTAATGACAAAATTTTTATGCTCCGTAATTTTTCACAAAAAGAAACATTAAAAAATGGAAATATTTTATTGTGCGTGTACCTATGTGCAAGTGGTTTAGCATCTGATCGGTAAAATAGACTTAAAATGACTTTTATTGACCGAACTTCGAGCGATCGCAGCGCCTCACTTATGGTGTCCATATTTTTGCACACTATTTTCTACGGTGATCGTTCTCCTGTTCTCAGTGGCGAAGCTTCCATTAAAGCCGAGAAGCCGGGCTTGCCTTATTAAGACTGAATCAATCAATAATATCAACTAATAAAATAACTCCTAAACTGTTTCAAATTATTTCAATTTTACCGCGCACTCCACTGTTCGACACACGTCGACCGCTGACCTCGTATTGCCTTCGATACGTTTATACAAAGGTACTCTGTGGCGATACTACTGCTGTCATAAAGTGAATTTTAATAGAGCGATTAGTTGTCTTCCTAACTCGCGTGGGCTTTTTACAGGGCTTTCGAGAAGACGATCGCTCTCTTTCTAACCTATGGCAAAATATTCTATAATGAAATATAACTACGAAATGTTTATATAGCAATTACTATTGAGCCAACAAGCCTGGCTTTGCCATGAAGTTGTTTAGGAGTGCGTTAGCGACTAGCGAAGTGGTTGCTGGCCCCTCGTATGCAAGCACACTTCACATTTCAATTTCTATGTTTGTTTTTGTTTTGTTTGTTAAAAATTTATGCTATTTCGAAGATTTTCAGTGAAAATGGGAGGATAATAGTGTTCATTGTGATGAATATAAGTGTGTTGAAGTGCTAATCGGCGAAGAAAAGGTAAAAATCTTTAAAAATGAAATTTAATATTCAATAAACATTACTTCATACTTTAAATATAGGTACAGGACTCTTTAGTATTAAAGTTTAATTAGGTTAGGCGTATTTAAAGGTTTAATAACTCAATAATAATATTACCATATGAATTAAAAATATCAATTTGAACAGCAGCATAAAGTATGCGACCTAGGTTTAATTTTAGAGGAAATAAATGTTACAATCTTTTTTTAACGTGAAGCCCAAATTTTAATTAAATAAATAAAGAATACAGAAGAATGTATTGAGGTTTTTAAAGAATAGTACTCCCTTTAGTTATTTCCAGTTAGGTTTCTCTGTCTACTTTTCAGTATACAAAATTTTAATGGCGCCATCTACTTAATTCTATAAGTAAAGTCATTATATCGAATGAAAATTGGTTGATTCTCACGATGGCACCTAAAGATTACGCTAGATGGCACAAATACGCTATCGGCTAATTTATAGTGATATATGAGTTTAAAAATATCATTTTGTACGGTTATATGAATTGAAAATGAAATAATTATAATAAATAATCATTATATTATGGTAAAAAATTAGCAAAGCTTAATATATTTATCTTCTCATTATAACTATCTAATTCCTGTCGTAATCTGTTCTTTTATGCATATAACTTAAACAAAATATAATTTCGAGGTTTCACATCTGCCAGGCGTCCCTTTTTTTTAACTTTGTACATTGTTTGTACTTTGTTCATGTATTGTATTGTTTGTAAATATCTCAAGCAAACCCAACAGCCCTTTTCAAAACCACCGAAGGTGTGCAATTGCATATTATGTCATACAGTCTATCTAGCGGTAGTATGTTTTCTGTGTACTTTGTTAAACACGTCCTTGTCAGCACTGAATATGAAACTAAAGAGTGGAGACAGCTCAAGATTGGTGTATTTTTATTAAACTGCTAAAAACAAGAAAACCATATCTTGGGCTTGCCCTAGTTTGAAGCCCTAGCTTCGCCACTGCCTGTTCTCTAACCTTCATGTTCCTGACGTCACAGCGAAATATTCTCCCCGGTTAGTATCGCCGTGTGACAAATCTCAAACCGATTCTGCGAGCGCTCAGCGGCCCCATCACTTTCGCGTTCATAGCGTAATCCCACTAAGCACGCGTTTTACTGGGAACCACCCGGTCGCGAACGCACGCATTTCGATTGCCTCTTGTATGTACAAATCCTACTTACTAGATTACATTTACAATATACATATTGAAGTAATTTATTTAAGAACTCCCCACCAGCACAAGTGTATCTGAAACCCAACAATAAATAATTTATAATATGTAATTAAATAAGATACAATATAAAAAGCTCACATTTTAATACCTTATTTAGAGACTAAGTGTAGTCGAGCTTTTGGTGAGTGCATATATGTCTATAAATGTTGGAGATGATATAAAATACTGGTATACTTTATGATAAAAGAAATAAAACAAAAAACAACTTTATAATTATTTATTAAACTTAACATTGTACAAAATATACTTAATACTACTAATACTAATATATCCTTACGTTATAAACGTAAATTGCACACATGGTAATACACTACAACACTAAACAGCGAAATTCAATCAATTCATACAAAAAAAAATTCGGTAATTAAATTCATTAGTTACCAATCATCACGCCAAAATAAATAGCACTAAAACGCGCTTTTATAAAAATACGACGGCGTTCAAGAAATTATTAATAAATCAATAGTTTAGAACAGTAGGACAAGTGGAACGACTGTTGGTTTTTAACTTTTATTTCAAAAATTGTTGATATAAATAAATATTCATTTTAGACTAATACAATATTATGTATGTTAAAAAGGAAACGAAACCACTAAATGGCAGTGAAATTGGGTTAAGTAAATAATAAAATAAAACACGTAAAGCATTTTTTACATTACAAAAACATCCTTACAATTTCCGACAAGGAATTCACACTAAACGACTAACAGGATACTGTAACAAAATAACCGAAGGCTCGTGACATGAGATCAACTATAAAAAATAATGCTGGGCGATTATAAATAACAAATAGTTTACAAATCGATTAGGCCCAATAATGATCAGAGAATGGATACGACATTAAAGAAATCATTAATTTTCCAATAAAATGACATCGTTATATTACATTCTACCTAACTTGACGATTTTTATTTAGAAATAGCTCGATAACAAAGTAATTCATAATCGCCAACTCCAAATTATTGTAACCTTACAGGCGCGTTTAAAAAACAGTCTTGTATTACACAACACACATACGTTGCAAAAACTTCCTTCACGTTTGTTAATGTCGTGTATAGTTAGGTGACGTTACAGTGTGGTCCCTAAGGGTGTGTTCACCCGAGTGACGTGTTTGTCACTCGTGCGGCATATCCTCTTGTAGTAACCAACTTTCGTTCTCAGCTCGCGCTAACTGCTTCTTGAGGGTACAGTATAATTTAAGTAACGAGTCCTGGAAGAAAATAAATAGATTCGTAAATTAAAATAAATGAATAGATTCGTTAATTTATCTATTTACCGCGTGAAAACTCAGAAAGATTTTAAGACTTATAATAGATGGCATTATAACTATACCGTTTTCAATGTAAAATATCCTGACCGATGACTAGGAGCAGATGTTAGATGTCTGGTACGGAGATTTATGGCAAATCCTTCGTAAAATTAGCGAGGCCGTTGGACTTTTACATTTTTTATAGACGAGGGGTCAAACGAGCATGCGGCTCACGTGATGGTAAGTGACGACCGCCGCCCATGATCAACTGCAACACCAGTGAAATTTCAGGTACCTTGCCGGCCTTTTAAAAATGAGTAGGCTTTTTTCTTGAAGGTCCCTAAGTCGTATCGGTCCGGAAAAATCTCTGGTGGTAGTCGATTCTACAAGGAAGTTGAGAGAAATAAAACTTCTTTTAAATTGCACAGTGGTGGATCGCCAATCATCCAGATGGTATGGATGGTGTCGCGATGTGCGATGGTGAAATTGTGCGGCTGAAATCAGTCTCAACAATTCCTCAGAGCACTCCCCGTGGTAAATGCGATAAAGTACGTAAAGAGAAGCAACATGTCTTCGCTGTGCCAGTGAGTCAAGCCGATCAGAAAGAGCTCGGTCGCCGATGATTCGATGATGCGATCAAACGGAAGGAGCTGGTAACCCCAGCCCAGAGATGGGAACAGTATTCCATGTGCGGCCGAACCTGCGCCTTGTAAAGTTGCAAACGGTGTGCCGGCATGAAATACTGTCCTCCTCTGCTGAGCATGTCAAGCTTTTTAGAGGCCAATTTGGCCTTCTCTTCCAAGTGACCACGAAACTGCACGTCACTCGACATGTCGACGCTGATGATTCCGATATTGGCTGAGGCAAGAAGGGGAGTGCCTTGAAACTGAGGAGATACGATGAAGGGGTTTTTTTAGCGGTTAACGCGCAAACTTATGGTGTGATGTCAATACACTTACTAATTATTTAGATATACAATAGACTTAGGTAGGATAAGATTTCGACTATATAGCATCTGGAATCTTTGTATCTGAGTCGTACCGTAAACGAAAAAGCCCTAAGTCAATCCGTCGCACAATAGAACTTATACACATATCACATACTAAATTCCACAGGGAAGCGAATGGATCACGCTCGTGTATCTCCGGACCCCGGATCCGTTATTTTTTTAACACAAGAGCGTGGTACCTTTCAATAATGTATGCATTAGTGTGAAGTTGATCACGCGGACACCGAAAACAATTTCTTTTCGGCGCCAGTGTTATGGCTGACTCAAAGCTCGTAAGCCGCAGGTGCACGCGTGTTTTTTTTAGTTTAATAAATGTCTTTACGGATTCAAACAGACCGTGTGTAGTGGGTACCATAGGTACCAAACTTGTGTTTTTTTTTAAGACCGGGTGATACGGCTGTATGAAAAGTCAGAGACTAAGATACGGTTTGTCACGGAAACTTAGTCTATTCTTAGTCATCCCACAAGATAATTAATTCTCTTGTGAGAACTGTGAAGGGAAAAAATTGAAATGATCTGTGTATCTCACCTTAAAAAAAACTAGCTTCATCATGGAGATAAAACAGTAAGACTGATAACCAACAGAACTATATTTATAAATCTTAACTTATGTTACCATTAAACTATAACAACATTTTTATAAAGTAATTGCATAATGAACACCTGGTTAAATACTCATGACAACCGATTCTGCAGGTTTTTCTTAAAAAATAAACTAACAATGTGTCCCAAATAGGAAGTGTACAGTAAGTTTATTACGTGATAGAGCCACACTGCAGCTACATTGTAGCTGTATCACGATTAGGTCGGCTCGACCGGGGTAGGACCACGCTCTTACAGAATACCAGCGAAAAATAGCAGCGTAATGCTGCTGTGTTTCGTATGGTGAATGTAGGGAACCGGAAACCATTTTAACAGGAAAAGAGGCATTTCATCGTAGTCCTCAGGGGTGACAACGCATCTGCATTCTGATTCTTATTCGAGGATAAATATGGATGTGTATGGGCCACAGTATTCACTTACCATCAGGTGGTCTTCGAAATATAACTATTCCTTAGATATGCAGGTTTTCCCACCATGTTTTTGTTTGAATTTAATCAAGCTTTCAAGCTTTTATTTTTTAAGCATGGTTGACTGGTAGAGAATGCCTAAAGGCATTAAGTCCGCCAATTGTACATTTTAAGTGCAATAAAGTTTTTTTAAATTTAAATTTTAAAATTTAACTTTTAATAATATAAATAAGTTCTATTAAGGGAAAAAATTAAATGTTTTGAACAATTACCTTCTCATTTTCAAGTTGTATAATTTCTCTTTTCTGCCGGAGCTCCTCTGAGTCCATATTTTCCTCCAGTTCTGATTTGTGATTGCTCAAATACGCTAACTCAGTCTGCGTCTGGAAACAATATCAACATAATTAGCTTTATTATGTAAGAACTTACAAAGAGTCATAGCAAGTTAAAAGTATTCACTGTAAGACACAATTAAAAACTTGTAACCAACCGCCTGTGTTCTGTTCTGAAGCAAATAACTCCAATATTGTAAAAAAAAAAACACTATAATTATTAAAGTAGGCTCACAACCAGTTTATAAACTAAATTACATTCAGCAATAAACTTCTTTGATGGCCACAAATGTCTTCTAACTGCCTATTCAGTTTCAAATGTGAGTTCTACCTTGTCAGTACGAGATAAATTCGAGAAGATCTTTCTCAAAAATAATTTTTCAAACTATTTGACTGGTCCACTGAAGTACAACAAAAGGAGATTTCGTGTTAATGATAATGTGGCACTTCATCTTAGTTCTTTGAGGTAACACTTAGATAGTAGTTGTTCGGAACACTATGTACTTAGGTCAAATTATGATCAATCCTGAATAATAAAAGGTCAAATTAGGGAGACTTACTTTAAGGTACTCTTGCGCCAGTTGCTTGTGTTCCTCGAAGATGCGCTTGGACTCCTCGTTGCTGAGGTCCGGCGAGATGGGTCTCAGGTGTGGATCGAGCATCATGTGCATGGAGTCCAGGTCAGGGTCGGGCTCCGACGGTGGCTGAGCTCCGCCCTCTGCCGGTGTCGACCCGCTACTGTTACCTGAAAAGAAATGGTGTTATCATGTATTGATCCTGTGTTGCTTCATTGAAATATTCTCATCTTACTCACTCTTCAGAGGTTACAACGCATCTACATTTTGATACTTAGTCAAGGATACATGAAGTTGTCTCTATTGGACATTTACCATTATGTTGACTGTATGGTCGTTTGTCATTTTATAGAAGGGCGACAAATGGTCGAAACGACCCCTATATACTGCAGCCATCATAGGCGTATCTTTACCACGTAGAAACTACCACAACCTACTTATTAAAAAAAGAGGCCAAGATAAACATTTTTATCAAGCTGCATTTAGTTTCTTTACATTGTTCACATATTGTCAATTTAATGTAATTTATTAGACAAGTTTCAGTTCTGGAAAACCATAAAAATGAAAATAGTGGTAATTTATTTAATTGTTAAGTAAGTTAGCCGCAACAGCGTATTTGTAACCCCACGAGTTTTATGCTGTACTGTAAGATCCACCTTAGCTAGAAGTATCCTGCTAGAGAGGCAGTTTCGGCTGAGAACGATGACGACGTTTGTTTCATCAAAATGCATCCCTTTAGCAAAATGTTATTACGTTCATGTAACTATAAATTTGACAAGAGTAAAATATTACTGTATACTCATAGATGTATATATAATTTTGTAAGGCCCTCACTAGTTACACGGATACACGGTGATTGGGGCCTACGACGATCGTTAATTTAACAGTAATCAAACTTCAACTGGTTTATAAAAATCCTCATCTGTAAACAATTTGCAGCTTGACAAGAGCCTCTACAAGAATACAGAGGATTAGTCAGCTGCGCCAAAGCCACGTTTACCAGGCATTTAATAGTAGTACCTCAGTAGTTTGGCATTTTACGCTGATTTTCCGTGGACGGTCTAGGGATTTCAAAGCTAGTACAAATATTAAACAGTTCAGTTTATTATGCCGTTTCTTAGACAACTTAATAAGATGAATTAACTTATGTCGCCACAATTCTAAATATTTCATGTTACGGAAATATTTTCTAAGAAAATTAAATATAACTTTGACCGTTGGAAACCGATGAAGTTGTTGATTTGGCTATGTAATCGATATTTGTAATTAGTGATGTAAAGTTCCATATTATAGAAGCTACATGTTTGTTCGCTCATGTTTACAAACGATTACCGGTTTGGGTTAGCTATGATTACTTCGTAGCTGAAACTAAGCAAATGTAGCATCTAAGTATTTAACTTTATTATTTTTACTTATTTGAGCTTTTATGAAATTTACTGTCTTTAAATACTTATATACTTTTAATTCCTTCATCAGTATGTTACAAGAATAGGTAGAAATACATTTCAAATGATGTTTGTTTACAAATAAAGCTGGCGTCTAGCAAACTTTGCCTTGCAAGTATATAAAAAGCTTTGATTATAAAAGTTAGGATTAAAATCATCTAGTGAAATAACGCGAGTACGTACCTATGCAATGTTAAATTTGAAAACAATAGTACAATAATTGAATTCAATAAGTTAACGGTGTTCTGAGCATTATTAAATAAGTAAAATATATTGTGTTATCAAACACGTAACGTTTTTTATGTACAGATATTATTATATACCACAAAACGTGATTGCTATAAATAACTTAAATAAGAGGAAATAATTGTGATGTTTTTATAAATGATGATATTCTTAAAAGAATTAGTCGCAGTTCCATTACAGGGTTAAATACGTCAAGAGTTAATTTTACTTCGGGTTGCTGATGTCAGACGCTTCACCTAGATTTTCTGCTTTGAATGTATGTATATTCCCTTCCCTGCAAATAGATGGCAGCAGTGTTCTGTACAAGGCGATAGACATTCGCGGAAACAATATATTTTGGTTAAAAACTCTTGTATAAAATTTCGCAGATCACAAACCTTCGGGATTGTAGAAAATAAATATGTAATATGTATTATAACTCATTTGTTTACGTGAACCGAAAAATCTCAACTGATCGCGCCGGACCGATGTAGGATGCGGAAACGCACGATTGCTGGAGGGTGACAGGGCTGATGCAAATCACGATCTAAACAATATGATCTTCTGGTGGTATTACGCACTAGATGGAGATGGAACTCCCCGAGCGACACTCACTGTAAAATATCCAACTACAGCTGACCGTGTCCCTGATGGTGGTGACGATGCCAGCGGGGGCGTCGCACGCGTCGCGACGTCGCGAGCGCGCGGGGGGCGCGGGCAGCGGGGTCATGGCGCGTCCGCTCGCGGAGACAGTGCGCCGAGCACTGCCGCGGGGCCGCGCACGCGCCTGCCACCCGCCCGCCAGAAATAATCGGCGGGAGAGCCGGGAACGGGTGGTGCAACAAACAAACCGCCGCTATTCGTGGTGCGGTGACTCACGACGTCAGCCCGAGCTAAATGCGGACACCGTGCGCTGCCGCCCTTCGCGAGGTTCTCCGCCTTTCGCTGGCAGGGCGCGCGCAGCTAGTCGCAGCGGGTCGACGACCCTAGTCTACGTAGCCAGTTGCATTCATCAGTTGCAGGTCTACCCTGGCGCTTGACGTTTCATGAAAAGCCTTTATTTTGAGACCCGCAACGGTAATCAACAAACAAATACGAGCTGACGAAATCTCGGTGATATCGGAATATGTTTACAAATATAAGGGAGGTCCATAAGTGTCTGCCGATGCACGAACAAAACTTCCGGAGTGACGTACTGAACTAATACGTCCGGTGCTTCCAGCGCAATTTGCGGGGTTTTCAGAATTACCAAAACCTGACTACAATACGTTAAATTAAATCACTATTAATCGATTTTTCATCGATACTAAAGAATACGGGCACGTATTTAGAAAATTGTCTATTCGGCAATGATAGGTGAGATGATAAAAAATTGCGTTTCTTATATAATAAGAGGTATAACATAATATAGCATTTGCCAAAGCATGAAGGAGTTTTCCGGTCTGGAGTGACATACTGAACCGATTCGTCAAGTATTTCCTGTAAAATCTGCAAGCTTCTCAACATGGGAATGACTAACATATGACCACTACGTTAAATTTAATTATTCATTAATCAATCTGCCATCGACATTCTCAAGATGAAGATGGGCACACATTTAGAAAATTGTATATTCAGCTATCACAGGTGAAATGACAAAGAAAGTGCATTTCTTTTAGAATAAAAGGGATTAACAAATATAGAAAATTATGCGCCGTGTTGATATTATACTAAGGTCATTATTATTATCTAAGCATCTGAGGACAAAAATAAATCAGTGACTATCGTTTATATCAGTCACATGGTTGCAATTGCAACACGTTTCTGTAATATGTTGGACGGCACGTGAGTGCATTGAATGACGACTCCATTTCTCAGGAATGACTTGTCGCCCAAACGATTACTGTGTTACTGGTCAAAGGGTACACTGCGCAAAAGCAACTTAGATGCGACGTCGGTGAATTGTGTTTCCAACATGTGACATACGTTAATGACAGTCACTACAAAATAGTCTTAACAGTCAGGGCTGTAAGGTATTCGCAATGTTTTTCTTTAACTATACTTAAATAAGTTTGTAGTGCAGATACACACTACAAACTTATAACACCCCTCTTTTTCGTCTGTGGTATCATAGTTCCTGAACGGTTCATCTAGATCACCTCGTTTGAAAGCTGTCAAATATATCGAATAATCTAATATAATCGAGTGTTCTTAGCTATGTTTCAAGAACAACTTCAATAGAAGATATCTGTATTAAAGCCTTAATGAGATTCTCACATAGTGCGAGCTATTGGCATCCAGTACCACCTGAAATAAGCACTGTGAAAGTTCAAACATTAGGAAAAGGAAGATGGATAATCTATAGTAAACCGAAGGGATATTATCAAATCAAAAATTTGTAATAATGAGATGACAAACGATAATATAAAAGGTCTTATTCTGGATAACTAATGCGATGTAAAAATCAATGGCGTCCTTCTGAAATCAAGACAAAGTAACACCACCAGCAACTTCAAATTCTCAAAACTACCATTTATAAATCTTCCGGATATAACAGTTTCTGAGCCTCAGCCGAAGAGAAAACCTTCACCTTGGATACTAGTTATTTAACAAATCTTCTTTTGGAAACAAGTGAAAAGTGAAGTAAAAATAATTGTCAAAATTTTATCAACGTGAAAAAAGTTAGCATCGGAAATCTCGTTATATTTAATTCTAATTATGTTCATTTGTGTGTTAATAATAATTTATAAATATAAAAAAAAATGTTTACCTAAATCAAAATAATCAGAGCGAAAATAATTATCCCTCTGATAAGTTTAAACTTAAGGGGGGAAGTTATGCAGTCTGGAAGTAGCCGTAATTTCATAACAACCTGTTGATCCCAAATCGTCCTGAATAAGCAAGCTGTTGATAATAGATTACTCATAAACATGATTTTTGCAATTAGGCATAATTTTACAACAAAATGTTGATCAATGGTGCCAACTAAGCTTTTGATATTAGATTACACAAAATATGTTAAGTGTAACGTTACAGAAGCTGCTGATTACACTGTATAATTGTTGTTTTTGGTCAAACCAAGTCATACTTTCAGTCAACAGACTAGTGGTTTGAACCATAAAATCAGTTGTATTTGAAATTATATTAATTATAGTTCTCGTCCTAGTAATGTAATCAATCACCTAGTTATAAAAAAATATTGTACTGAATTATTTTTAATTAATTATCGTAATGAAATGGTAATAAATGTCATCGTGACATAATATTTGTTTTTGAAGCATCCCATGGCGCAAGAAAACGATTCTTTGAAATCTATCTCCTTCGTAACCCGTAGGGCAATTTAACATAATTTTTTCGGCAATATTTGTAGCTTAACGTAGACAAGGTTTGTAAAAAATAAAAATCTGACTTTGTCTAAAAGATATTAAAAAAATAACCAAAAACTAAATTGTCTTTGGGAAAATACATATTTTTTTTTTTATATAGGATAGGGTGACAAACGAGCACACAGTCCACCTGAT